CATTAAACTCCTGAACGACTCGAGCGGCGTACCACGACACGGCTACCATAACACACAGACCTGAGAGAGAGAACAGGCAGAACATGTGAACATGAATTAGATAAATCAGTCATAGTGTGTGTGGTAATACTGACCTGACAGCATGAACATGACTCCGGCTGTGAGGCTGATCTTGCCCTTCGACTCCTCAGACGTGCTGCCCAGTTTAGTGCACTTGAGTCCCATCGCAGCCATGATGACAGCCAGCAGACCCAGAATGAGAGCGATTATCATCAGAGCTCGACAGGCCTGGATATATCCTACAAAACACATCACATCAGAAACACATACGAGCTTCAGTATATCTTTACAAATGACTAAGGGTGCATGCATCTACCACGGCAGTATCAATTATGGCAGTACTAAAGTATGATATTTGAACATTTCCATGAGAGAAATACCATAGTATTCTCTCAGAAAAAAGGTAAAAACTGTTACTTGCATGGTACCCTTTCAAAATGTACCATTACAAATATGTACCATTTAGAGCTAAATGTACCTTTTAGCTTTTTGTACCTTTTGTTTCTGAGTGTGTAAATATCAAAGTACCATACTATTAAGTCCAGGTCATATTTCACCACCAAAAGCAAAAGCAAAAATATCATTTATAATTAATTCATCAATTAATTCTATTTTGCATGAAAAAAAAAAAAAAGCCTGTTCTTGAGACCATTATGATTATTCTGAAATTGCTTTTTTTCATTTAAATAAATTATATTAAATATTTAAATGTCATTATAGTGTTTGTTGTACCACCTTTCAATTATTCTGACTTAAGTAATAATAAAAAAAAAATTTCATTGTAAATTTCTTGAAATTTATGTCAAAACAGACCTTTTTTTTATTATGCAAAATACAAGTTCTTACATTTTATCTTGAATTTTGAAATACACTACCTTTCAAAAAGTTTGGGGTCAGAAATTAATATTTTTATTCAGCAAGGATGCATTAAATTGATCAA